GTGGCCGCTGCCCACCCTGGGCTTGGGTGACCACTGCTACCCCATGCCAGCATGCCAACAGGCGGGTCTGGAAGGTGGCAGGGCAAGAGTGGCTGCTGCTTTCTGAGCCCTACTGTGGCCCACTCACCCACCGCCCAGAGGGGCAGGGAAGCAGGGCTCAGGGGCCTGGGAGGAGCAAGCAGCAGGGAGGAGAGAGAGGAGCAGCTGGACTCAAGACTGCCAAGAAGAATCCGGCTTCTCCACGGCAACTGGCCCCAAGCTCCTCCCCGAATTTCTGCCACCCCCCACCCCGACCCAAGGAAAGCTTTGGAAAAGGCAGGCCTCACCTAGTCAGCTGGCGGGCAAGCCCTGCTGGGGCCCTCCCATGACCTCAGCACCTACACAGAGGGCAGCTTCCAGAGTGGGGAGTGGCTCTGAGCAGGAAACCCAGCCACGCCAAGGGCCAGAGGACAGAGAAGCAGGCAGAGATGCGGGACACGATGCCCACAGGCCCAGGGGGCCTGGAGAAGCGCTGGGAGGTCACCGGCCGGAGGAGCCGATGCTTCCCCCTCCCTGACCTCACCCCAGGCTGGCCACCAGCCTCCAGAACACCCAGACACCTACCCACCGACGCGTGGCTTGGCCAGTGGACCCACCCTACAGGGAGTGACTGCTCCAACCCCCATAAAGGCCTGGAACACGGGAAGGGAAAGCAATGACAACAGCAAAACACCTCCCCTCCCCACAGTCGTGCACACCAGCTCAGGTCTCAAAAGGGGCTAGACAGGAGCAAAGGGAAGAGAGGAGGCCAGGCGTGGGGACCCCACCCCAGCCCTTCTCTCCTTGCCCGTCCACCACAGGGAAGTCAGGAAACTGGCCACACTTTGGTCACTTCTCCCAACCTGAGTCCTTCAGCCTTATGCCCTGGGCCTCTCTCAACCCCAAGCTCACCGCCCACCCCAGTAAACAGCCTCTCATCAAACAGAAAAAAACCAAGGGAGGGGGTGGGGAGGAGTGGAGCTGGGGCGGGGGGCAGGCACAGGACCGCAGCCTGGATGGCCCTGCTGCTCAGCCCCTCCTAGCAGGATGCGACAGGGTGGATGGGCAGCAGACTCCCGAACTTGAAGTGCTGGATCACAGGGAACTTCTCCAGGCACTGCGGGGAGGAGGGGAAGAGCGGCGGGTGAGGCCGAGTGCCAAGGCCTGCTCTGGCCCCTCGGGCCTCCAGGGGACCCCCAGACAACACCAAAGGCGCACAGCGATGCCGATCCCGGGAGGCCTCTGCTCAGGGCGGTCCCAGCCTTCAGGGAGGGGCCAGGCCTCCTACCTCTTCCCGACCATCCCCTCCGGTCCAAAGACCCTCACTCCACAAGCATCACACCCACCAAAACCTGAGAGTGGGGGTCAGGGAGGGAGGGAGAGAAGGCAGCCCAACCCCACAGAGCAGAAGCCAGGAAGAGAGGCGGCCGAATGAGATCACTGGGCCCAGAGGGGGACGTTAGGGACCACAGAGGAAAAGAGCCCTCCAGATCACTGGGGACCCCACAAGTGCAGGTTCCAGCGCTGGAGAAAACGTGTGGGGACATCTGAACACAAGCTAAGAAGGGCCCAAGGCCCATGTTCTCCAATTTTCAATTCTCTGGCCTGAGAAGGCATCTTGGCACTTCAGATGAAACAGTAAGAACGAGCTGACCTCCCCCCACACCCAGGGCAATCCTCAGCAGACCCCCTCCCTGAATCTAGCCCAGTCAGGGCCGCTGCTCAGAGCTCTAGCAGAGGGGAGATGCAGACATCAGCAGGGCCTACCCAGAAGCTGGCCCGTCCACAGGCAGCCGGATCCCAGGCCCACACCTGCCCACCCTCTGGCCTGGGCACTGCTTCAGCGCCACGGAGGACGGAAGAGAAGGGGGCGCCCCAGCTTCCAGCTCCCTGCACTGACACAGCTGTGCCCACCACAAGGCCTGGTCACTAGCTGGCTCTCTCAGGAAGCAACTCCAAGTGTCTGAGGATATGCCTCCTCTCACACCTTTGACCACAGAAACAACCAGGATGTGCTGGGCACCTCCTGGCTGGGTGGGAACAACACTTATGGCCTCAGAGTGGGTGAGAGTCCCACTCTGTGACCAGAGTCTCAAGCTCCAACTAACCTAGAGAGACCAAGGCGTGCTGGGACTGGCCCTGGCCCCCTCACCTCAACACCCAGGTACAGAAATCAGGAAGTCTCAGCCAGCTGCACTTGTGTGTCAGGCTGGGGGGGCGTCCGCAAGGCCTGAAGTGGGGCCAGGGGGTGAGCAGGAAAAGGGAAATCATTTTGTGCAGTGCAGGAAGGACAGGAACTCAGCTCAGAGTGGGAGCACAGCTCCAGGCCACAGCCAGGCTCCCGGGCCTGGGGTAGAGGAATTGGGGAGCAAACAGCTGACAGGGGGAGGGGGAGGGTCCCTGGGGGGGGGGGAACAGCACCAGATTCAGGCCAGAGGCAAAGGCAGCTGCCAGTGTGCTTATGTCATCAAGGAAGTGGTGGGAGTTTGTAAGAGGGGGGGCCCCCCAGGGCCCTGGAATTCCAGAAAGGGTCAAAGGTCAGCCTGCATCTAGCTCTCATTTAAGAGAAGCTGGGAAGGCAAGAGGCTTAGGGAGAGGCAACAGGGGCAGTTCTCTGCACTCTGCCCTCAGGGACCCAGCGTGAGCTTCCCCAGGGCCTCACGGAGGGCAGGCGGGAGCAGGCTAAGGGCAGGAAGCTACTTGGGGCCAAGGAAGTCCAAGGCTCCAGGGCAAGAGCAGACGGGCGCCTCTGGCCAGGCCTTCTCCCAGCTAACTGCGCCCTGGGCCCCACCGGTGTATCCAGACAGACCCTTCCAGTGGCAGCTCAGGCCCAGGCCCTTTCAAGAGCTAGAGATTCAAGCGGGAGAAGGGCTCTCGGGTCCTCGACAGGCTCTTCTGAAGGGGGTGCCAGCACAGTGACAGCCGCAGGACAGACAGGCCCTGCCCCCAAGGGGGCCGAAAGCCTTCAGTTCTTCAGTTCAGACAGGTAGGCACGGGCAGCTTGGAGATGCAGAGCTGACCACAAACCTGACAGGCCACCTAAGGCCAGGCTAGTTGGGCCTCTGGCAGCTCAGGGGACAAACTCCCCCCCAGCAGCCGACTCCAGCTGGGAGCGCTGGCCTTCCCATCCCCCTTCTGAACTTCAAGACTGAGTGGGCTTTCAAGGTCTTCCCCATGGACTGAGGACTGGTCTGAAACAGGAAGTCCCTTCCTTGGATATCTGGGCCAGGCGCATGCGATTCCATGGACTCTAAGGGACCAAAGACTAAGGGCAACTGCTAGCAACTTAAGAACGTGTGCCAGCCATCGCAGAGACCTTGGGGTCCCTAAGCCAGCCAGTGAATCCCAGCACTGTCCTACAGAGAAGTCTGGCCGCCACACAGCCTGGCAAGCCTGCAGGCTTACATTGCGCCTGCGCGCGCCCAGGGCTGGAGGCTCCCGTCCCCAGGAAGGGCGCTGCGTCACCGACTTGCGCTCCCTCCGCCTGGTGCGAGGCTGAGAGCAATCTTCTTCGATCACTGTCCTCGTGCGCGACATGAGCGGAAGAACCGACGATCGTTACACTGCGCCTGTTTTATTCTGGCTGTACCATCAATTTCCAATCTTAATTCACTCCTCCCTCATCTTTGGTCAGCCTGGAGTTCTTCTGCCTCGGGAAGGGGCAAGTAGGGGAAGGGGGCAGCATCTCCTGTTCTGCTCTTAAGGGGTCCGGGTCAAGATAAGGGCAGAGTATGAGCTGGGCAAAAAGGGCAGCATTTAGGATCCCAAGCAGGACAGGCACGGGAGAGCCCTGCCTGTGCAGCACGGGGGATGGGGAGTAGGGGGGAGGGTTCAGCAGGGCTATGCTGCTTCCCACTAGGACCCACTGTGGGCCTGGCGAGGGCAGGGGCGTCAACAACAGGACTCCCAGAGGGCAGTGACCTAGGTGCTCTCCAGCAGGGGGGGCGGAAGGAGCCTGCGCAGACCAGGCGAATCGCCTCTCAGATTAGAGAGGTATGTGGGTTGGAGCCTAAACACAGGATGTGAAGCCCAGAGGAAGGGGACTAGAGGGAGGGGGAGAGAGGGCCAAGCCCGGTCAGTTCCAGTCCCAAGCACCGTTAACCCCTTCAGGCCAAACAGACGAGCCAGACCAACTGGAAGCATATTCATTACCAAACTGCACCCAAGCCTCCGACATCCATTCCTCCCCGTTTCCCTGCCTCCCTTGAGGGGATCTAAGTAAGCTCTGGGTGTGATCAAGCAGACCCAGGGAACCTCCCACCCTCCACGAGAGAAGGATGGCCAAGGGTCAAGAAACAGGCACCCACGGGAAAACATCTGAGACCCCCAGCCTGAAGGCAAAAAGTGGGGACTTTGGGGACCCACTGTTCCAGGTGAGGGACTTCACACCTAGGCCCTTCCCTGGCTAAGGTCAGGCGGTTCCAGGATTGGTCTGCCCAAAATGTGGAAGGAGCCAGGGGAAGAGACAGAGTGGGAAGAAAATGTCTCCCTCCGACTTGCAACAGAAAAAGTCACCTGCTTGGCTAGGAGAAGGTGAGAGGGCAGGAGACACCCCCAGGAGCCTGGCAGCCAAGGCCCAGCACAGGAAGCTGGGGGAGACCACCCTGATCTGAGAGCAGGCAGGCCCACCTGAAGTGGTCATTACAAATGCGTCTCCCAGCCTCCCCCATGACCTGCCATCTGCCCAGCAATCAGATCCACCAAAGTTTGAGAAACACGAGCATGAAGGATGCCTCCCAAACCCTCTCCCAGGCATGCCTTTGTTTTTGTGTCCCTGCAGGGCCTTCAGCCATGTGACAGACCCCTGAGCAGCAGGGCCTTGTCTCAGTCACAGGGCAGAGCTGGGCCTCAGCCCCATGCTTTTCTGAGTGCCCATCCCAGAGATGGAGATTCTGAGTCCTCAATTGTCAGAGGGGCTGGGCCAAGATTCAGAGGCAAACAGCAGGGTGGGGTGGAGGAGGGGCTCAGCAGCCCCCACTCACCTCGGCCTTATACATGCGGATGAGACCCTGGTTCACCTTGGCCCAGGAGGGGACGGCACTGATGTTCCACAGCTGGTTGGAGTGCTCTGCAAAGGGGCCCGTCTTCATCTGGAAAAGAGAGGCCACAGCTGGAGAGGCGGCCACCTCATCCCCTCCCCTGCTGCCTTCCCGCGCATATGCACACACACACAGACACACATGCACACACACACACGCTTGGGGACCAGGCCACAGCATCTGCCTGTGGGGCATGGGCGTGTACACA